CTAACCCGGTAGTCGACAACAACCGGCCGAGGCCAACTGTTTCGTCAGCTTTTTCATGCGGCTTCTCCATGTTGTAGGCTGTCCACCAGACCGTCTCTTCCAGCTCTGTCCAGCAAGTGCAAACAACGCACGACGGGGGTAACGCTGGACAGGCATGCGCAATACGTGTCCCAACCACCGCAGTTGATGCAGTGAGATGAGCTCCTCGAGCGAGTGGCTTCCACGTCCCAAGACACGCTGTCTTAACTTCCACATTGCTTACGTGGTGCTGCCACCACACACGGGCAATGGACCGCAGACATCGGTGCTCGAAGACGGATAGCCTGCGCAAGTCATCTTTACGAATGGGCCAGGTCTCGCATCCGTACAACAGTACAGCACGAACAGTTGCACAATAGACCCGCCCTTTGATGGAGAGACGAATGTCGTGGCGACGCCACAAATGCCACAGCCTAGAAAAAGCGAGGCGGGCTTTCGAGATGCGCATCGGAATCTCGTCTCCAACAGCCCCGCCAGCAGTGATGCAACTTCCCAAGTAGACAAAGCTCTCCACAACCTCTAGTGTCTCACCAGCAAGCGTGAGTGCAGGCAGAGGCACCTGCCAGTCTTGAAGGAGAGCCTTGCATTTGGATGGCGAAAAGTACATACCGTACTTTGATGCTTCAATCGCCAAGCGGTTTAATGCAAGTTGGACGACCTGTGGATCGTCACCCAGCAAGACGATATCATTAGCATAATTCAAATCAACAACTCCACTACCTGGGAGGAGCTCAACGCCAGCGTTCAACGAATCGCTCAGAGCGTTCTTCAGGACATCCTCAATGGCAAAGTTGAATAGGAACGGAGAGATAGGGCATCCTTGTCGAACTCCACTGGAGACCACAAAGGTAGGCGAAAGCATGCCATAAGCCCTAACCCTGCCCGAGGTCAGACTATATAGAGCGCGCAGTATGGAGACGAACTTCTCGGAAACACCGTTCCTCAGAAGGCAATGCCACAGTACTGTACGATCGACAGAATCGAAGGCTGCACGGATATCCAGGAACACAGCAATCGTTGGCCTCTGATACACATGGCGGAACTCGAGGATCTGGCGAAGTGTGAAGATTTGATCGATGCAGCCGCGACCAGGGCGAAACCCAGCTTGTTCTTCTCGTTGCAACGATTCGCGTGTTGGGGATAGCCTGCGAAGTATGATGGACACCAGCAGCTTGCAAACGACGGGGACTAAGCTTATACCTCTGTAGTTGGAGCAGATTGTGCGCAGGCCTTTTTGAAGATGGGGACGACTATCGATTCACCCCAAGATGATGGAACTTTCTCTTTCGACCAAATTTTCGAGAACAAAGCAGTGAGTTCTAGGACCAGCGATGCGCCACCATCTTTAAATAGAGCTGGGTGAAGACCATCAAGGCCGGGGGCTTTATAACGCTTCATGTGCCGGAGCTCCTGCTCGATTTCCTAGAAAGAGGGAGGATCTGTTGGGGTAGACCACTCGGCCCCAGGGCGAGTGCCAGAGGTAGCAGGTGGAGCTGGGGGCCAACAAGACTGCGAGCCAAAATGTTCGGCTCATCGCTCCAACCGTCGTTGAAGATTGGTGATTAAGGTGCCATCCTCTTCGCATATTGTTTCACTTATACCAGATCGAACACCTTCGGTGACTTGAATGAGATGGAAGAGTTTCGCGGTATTACCAGAGAGACTAGCAAGCTCCATCTCCCTAGCACGTTCACACCACCAAGCTTCGCGGTCCATTTGCAGACTCCTGCGCAACTCTCGACCAAGGTATTGGCGTTCCTCACAGTGTCTGGAATCCGATGGGATCAAGCGGCGTCTGTCCATCAGCGACAAGGAGTCGGCGGAAATCCAGTGTTTCGGTGGGTGACGTGTAACTCCACAAGTATCGATACTGGCGGAAACTAGAGCATCTTTGATATGCGCCCACTGCGAATCGAGATCACCGTCAACAGTTGAGCCAAGCAAGGTTGACAGTGAGGCTTGATACCTGGTTAAAATCGAAGGGTTTTGTAGATTCGCGACGTCCGGTCGGTAGTGGGCGCGCTTAGGTGATCCTCCGAAACGCATGCAAATCTTAGCACGAACCAATGCGTGATCAGAGTCTAGAAAAGTTGACCAGTACGATCGGCAGTCCGTTACGCTTCCGCGCCATCTGTAGCTGATTGCTATGTGGTCAAGCTGGAAGCACTCTTGCGTTTGTGAGGGCGGGCGCCAGGTAGCAGTGTGTCTCCTCGAATGTCGAAAACTAGTGCTCGAAAGAAACAAGCGATGATCAGAGCAAAGAGCAAGCAATCTGTCTCCACTGTCTGGTCGACTGCCACCGAGACCAAAACTATCCCCAATGTGGTGTTCGCTTGGCGGAAGGCGGCCAACCCGTGCGTTAAAGTCCCCGGCAAGAATGACTATATCCGTCCTTTTGGAGGAACGCAGAAGTTCATGTAGTTGTTGATAAAAGCTATCTTTAACTGCATCCGGGCTGCAGTCTGTAGGGGCGTAGGTGGAGACGACAAACAAGGCACGCTTAACATCTCGACGACTGCTTACGTTACATGAACCTCTTAGTCTGACTGCACATAGCCGACTGTTGACTGGGATCCAGTCAAGCAGAGCTGATTCAGCCCTGGCACTTAATACAACCCCAACACCAACTTGACCAGTGGCGGCAGATTCTGGGTCTCCGGAAAGCCGCAAGTAGTATTTGGCGTCAGAGTTTACCGGAGAGGCCATTCTGATGACGGCGCTAGAGTCTTGTAATCTGGTCTCTGAAAGACAACAGATGTCTACCGATAGCGTTTCAAGAGTACGGGCCAGACATGCTTGTCGTCCGATCTGCATTAAAGTTCGAACATTAAACGCTGCGAAGATGAATGGAGAACCGGGTCGAAGAAGATAAGTAGCACTATAAGCTGACATTTATAGCGAGGAAAACCAACATAGTCGGTCGCCTGCAAGCGTGTCTATGCTACAACACTTGACAAAAACCAAATATATATGGTCACTGCACCGGAGACCAGGGCGAAAGCCAGTCTGGTCCTCACTAATTCGGCTTTCCCGATAGCCAGTTTGCCGTCGCCGAATGACACCCTGAAGATAGCTGGATGTAGAAGAAATAAGGTCAATACCTCGATGATTTTCGTACGAAACCCTGTGAGACCTTTGATGGTTGGGATGGCGGTTAGCAATCACCAGTCCGAAGACGTTCAGATGGCGCTGAATAGAGCAGACGGACTTTCCACCAATATGTCATCCCCACCTTTCAGTAACGATAGAGGAAAGTTATAAAGTCTAAGGGCAGTTTCGTTTAAACAAAGCCAATTCAGGTGATTAGGCAACCAATGGCATCACAGCAGGAATGTTGAACCGTTCTTCAAAGTCACATTAAGATTCATACCAAACATGAATAAGGAAATTATTTCCACTGCAATAGGTAGAGATCTACCTTGCGAGGTTGAACGACGAACAACAGCTATCACAGTGATTGAGCATCACCGTCATGATGAAATCCAAAGGATGAACGGATTGAAGCACAGCATTTCTTTCAAAGAAAGTATGATCGAAAGCGAAACAGGGCGAATGTGCGAACTATACCGCTCAATTTAGCGCCAAGGCACTAATCGGAAAAGCACCAGTAAACACAGCAATTCAACTAAACCTGCACCCAAGTCAATATGGACAACTGATCTGCAGCGGTTGTGAATGATGTGGGCACCAAGATCAAACAAGGCTGCAAACGAATCGATCGATAAATAGAATAATGCAGATAAAAGTGACGCAGAGACATGCGAACCGAGGTTAGTATCCTGAGCAAACTAGTTCTACGGGAGTCAGAGGGAAAATATTCGGCCGAACCTTTCACATACCTGGTAGTAGACATAGGCTGCAAAGCGAAAATAGCATAGCTAGATTAAGCTCAACGGTCCATGAACGATACAAGTAGTACCCTTAGGAATTTACAATTTGTACAGAAGGGAAACGAAAGCAAATTCGGTCAGGACATGGTACAGAGTCGGTGGGACAAGACCGGTAATGATAAATGGCATTTATATGCACAATCAAGCAATGAGAAGCAAAGGAGTAGCAGGATTTGCGTGGAGTTTGTATTTGGGGTTGCATTAAAAGGAAAAGGTCTGACAGAGTAGACCCGGCACATTTTGAAAGAACAAGAACACCAAAAGCATTGCACACGTTAAAATACTGAATGTCAGCAGGTGTGACAAGTTCCACTGGTTAGGTCTGAACAAAAGACGTAACGACCAGTACTAGTACTTCATAGAGAGAATTTACGGTCATTTGGGTCACAATCGTCGTCATTATCAAAAGCGGTAAAACAACACACTGTATTGATACCATAGTAATACGACGCTAACGACCCTAGTAATTGGCGCCGAAAAGTGACACGAACGGACGACCTAAGGAGAAAACTAAATTCCCTAAGCAGACATACAGGACTAGGACGTCTACAGATAGTCAGCGACGAGCGGTCACAAACCACTGGTGATTACGCGAATATAGATTGGTAACAGTGAAATAGCTTTCTTCCGGTTCCCACCGCCACTTGATCGAAAAGCATAGCTACTACTTGTCTGGTTTTGTGTGAGGAGAGCAAAAGTGCACTCTCTTCTGGATATCGGTTGCAAATATGGTGAATGGAAAGTACCAAGAACAGTCATTCGGCAGAAAGCATCCCGAATCAATGAAATGACGCTTCGAGAAAAGGTGTATTAAAGAAAATGTCAAGGACGTTAATATGGTCGAAGGTTGAAGTTAACTAGTGACATAATAAAGAGCTCCGAATCCGTTAAACCACAGAATGCGAGTTAGTTTAGTTTAATGCTAGTTTAGTTAGCAGTAAACACTAAGTGCACTAAACAAGCATTGTTTTAAGCAATTAGGAAGCCTTAGGAGATGAACAGCGATCAGAGATGCCGAGGAGAGAGTGGAAGACATTCAGCAACAATCATATTTAAAATACCACCACATACCTTTGTCAATGTACAATGCTATGGAGCGATGAAGAGTGCGCCGACGAAGGTATCCATGGAAGTGGGAAAGGTGAAAAAGAAAGGCAAAATACGTATCAACATGTAGCTAAACATAAGTAACTATGTCAATGTAGTGGGTGGGAAAACGGTTTGTACACCGATAGTCAGGATACATGCATATGTGGGATAGGACATCAGTGATACAGGCAGATCTTAATTCCTTCTAAAAGGCTGATGCGTACAAGAATATAGAAAAAAGCATCCTGGAAAATACATAGCCCCGGAAACTGACCTCACCAGGTTAGGTTGAAACGGCGTAGCAGAACATATATTTTAACTCTGCGCTCCGCTTCTGCAGGTTGAACAGGGAACACAACCAGACTGCAGTAGTTAAAGGTCGAGTAAGAAAAAGCAAAAATGACGCGTAGAGGCTTGCAGTCGGCTAGCAATCGACACGTACATAGACCAAAAACTAATAACGCTTCAAAATGCGTTTCTCGAAACGCATGCTAGCATTGCAACCCCCAATGCTATCGTGGGTAAGACAGTGTGAAGTACAGTGGCCAGATCTTAAAACCCCAGCAACGAGTATTCGTAAGCGAACGGGAGGGAATAGACATAATGTGGGTACCTGAACCTAAAGCAAAGGAACGCGCGTTGTTTCGTTCGGTGTTGGGGTGACGAATGGTCCATATTTCGGCAAGAAACAACCCATGACAGGCCACAGGCCTGATGATGTCACAACAACCATAACATTTAACAGTGGTAGATATGCGCTTTGATCTGATGAGCCGCTGGAGTACCGCGATAAGTCAAGAGAAATGTACTGACTGTGGTAAAAAGGTAGAGTGGCGAAGATGTGCCAAAAGTGGGGCATGAACAAAGCAAAAATTTTGATTAATGATGTTTACACCTTCCGAAAACCGTAAAGATACGAATGGCTGATTGACGTGTGAAAATAGGGTGATAACGGCTACAGACATATGAGGTAGTTTTCAGTACTACGCACCATTGGCTATCAACCCTGCATACTGATGCTGATAACATATGCACCGTAAACATATGGGCCAGCTAGGAAACGGAGGCAAACAAGCCACTGGTGCCGACTGCGAGCCATATGCCGAAATATTATGAACCAAACATGAGGGGGATCGCGTGGACTCCAATCCAAGGGACGAAATCAACCGAAACCACTCAGTTCAGTCGATAGCGAATTACTTTACCACTGTCAAGTTAGTGGGTGCCTCCCATAAAGAATGCCAATCCCGATTACTCCTTTCGATAACTAGTTGACTGGAACATGCATCAATTAATCGTTAGCTTGCTGAACTTCCACCTCGTGATTCCAGCTAGGTGGTTTGAAATTATCCAGGCACAATGAATGGCTCGTTAGTGGTGTCCAATGAAATGACGGATTCGCGCCCGATAAACGTTCGCCCAATAGAAGACCACAATATTTGCTAACAACACTTTAACATGTCGGATGTGACGTGCCACTAAAATCACAGCCCCAAAAGTAACCTTAGTAAAACAGTGCATTCCAGTCAACGCAAGCTAAAGTTTCGAGAAAGATAATGCTCAGCTAGACAACCACCAAACGGATGCTAAAAGCGTTATCCCCTGACCTATCGTTTTCCCAATGAACATTTAAATTCAAGGGTTGAATACACTGAAAAACATGACCTCGTCCATATCGCACTCGCCTCGGAAATCACAGCAACCTATCCGCCTACATCACATGCCAACCGACCATTTCGCAAAAATTCCTGCTTCCTCGAAAACGCAACCTTTCGAACCCGATCTTAGTTTCGACAGAAACTCCTCAATGAGCAGACACTCCATGTAAGTTGGTTATGAGGTCGATCTGATGCGCAATCTAGAGCCCTTCATCACTGACAAGTGCGACTTCCGAAATCCGGTTGCAGGATCCCAGCACAGGATTAAACATCAACTGCGTGTATCTGGCATGGACGTAGCTGCAGTGGAGTTGGTGGATAATGAAGTACCATCGAGATAAAAGGCAAAGGCCTCGACCCTGGACTGGTCCCCGACTAATGACTGACTATATGCAGTTCGACTTCAGTGCTCGTGAAGGATCAACAGACATCGCGAAAAGATAGCATTTGGATGTTGGGTTTTGGAGTATGCACCGTGTCTGGATTGCAACACGCAATCCCACTTGAGGTGAGGATTGACTGAAGTCAATCTCTGCCACTCCGATCACTGGTGTAGTGTATGTAGTGGAGTGTTTCTGTGTTGCTCTCTTCTACCGCTGCACTCCATGACCCATATTGTCCCTGTTTAGACTCATCAGGGAGTGAAGATCAGCACATAGTGGTTGACGGTTAACGCCATGATTACTAGCCACACAATCGATGGTGGCTGTGTGTAAGTGAAGGACGACTTTCATCTCCAACTCCGTCATTTTTCGAGTTTAGTTGACAAGTAGAACATCGTTGTGTTTGCTGGGGGTTCCAGTGAAAGAGGTCGCTTGTTACCATGCGAAAGTCCTATTAGCGGTCAACATGCAATCAGAGAAGATGGGTCAGGTGTCAGAAGCAGCCATCACATGTTGTGCAAAGAAAACTGAATGTTTATTGCAAGTTAAAAATTTAGACAAACGAGACATTCTAGCATTTAGCATCATGTGCTAAAGCAATTGTGAGCACAAATCGATCATATTGCGGTCAGCCCCAGGTAATGGGTTTCAGAGAATGTATACGCATGTTTTGCGTCCCACGGTCTGTGTGAACAGTTGCAGGTGCTTCTGTGGCTGTTCAAGACCATAGCACTAGTAAACTGATAAGACCAGTTCATTACTTGAACCATTTGAACAAGCGAGCTACGCTGTTAGGTGCATTCATCTGTAGTTTATCACACATCAAAATCGGACATTAGATTTCCAGGACGAAAGTGATGCGGTTTTCTGGCACTCGTAACTCTTGAAAGGCTGGATCTCCGCTCAATCTCCAGAACTTTTGATCCTCGACAAAACAGTTCAAAAGGTGCATATCGTGGGAATCATTCAATCGGTAAATGAAGCAAAGTATGTGTAATGATCGTGAGGATCTGTGGTCTCAATATTTTCGAAGAAGCTACCGTTGCGTCGGGAAAGCAAAGCAAATCGTAGGAAATCTGGTGCCAATGAGGCTGGTCGCTAGGCCCATGGTCACAAAATCCATGAGGTGTAGAAACGCATAAGCCATTGGATAGAACAAGTTCATTCATGGCTCCACTGGCCATTACCGTCCTTCTAGATCAGTGGTTCTCAACCTGAGGCAATTACTCAAAGGGTGGAAGCATAAATATAAGTACGACGATTGGGTCATCAATCTACCGCCAAACAAAATTGATAACAACTACCTAATCACTGTTGATCAGCCACCAGTGACTAATCATTAGTGAGTGGTCAGTGAATTAGGCAATTTTCGGTAACAAATTTTATTACCTAAAATACGAATACAAGCCTGCAAAGAAGCACAGCTAGATGGCGCCTCTATCGACTCACTCGTCGATCGTTGTTTCTAAGTCAGACTCGTTCGCCGGGCTGAATTATAGAGTAAACACTAAGGTGGGAGCATAAGTCAATCGAAAAGGTAAAGGAGCGACTGTTTACAAGATAGAAGGGACAAAAAAGTGATCAGTGTACAGGACGTATAGGTATGGATTAATGGTGGGAAGGTGTCATCCAGGACGGAATTGGAAGGCATGGGGTTTAAAGAGATGAGAAGCCACTGACATGTTTGATCAGGGATCACACAGCAAAGCAAGTAACCTAATGAATTTGGAGCACGAGACCGCACCAAATATACTTTAAATTGCTGGAATTGAGAAATATCAATCAGCCCATTGGCGTACATCACTACGAGATAATAAAAATTGCTCAAAAATAGGTGTTTAATTTATCTGAATGATAAAAACTAACTGAGAATAGTGTTCAATTTTCTTAATTTAAAGCAACAAATGCAGTAGTTAATACGTAACAAGTTTTCAAACTAGAATGTTTTGGGGTAATATTTATATACTGAACCCGCATTGAGGGTAACAATCACTAAAAAGCTGGGAACCACTGGTCTAGATGCTCACCGATCGTCCTAGTAAGGCTACCCAACGAAGCAGAAATCAGCACTGAGATTCAACAGTGGACGCGATAGAGGCACTCGATCCAAAAGTACATCCTCCACGGCTGTCAAGTATGCGCTATCTATCCTCTAACACGTGACGTGAAGAGGTGTCCACAATTGTGGTACGACAGTTAATGTCCTGGTTTGCAAAAAAGTGTACCCGCACCTATTAGGCCAATCATAGGTGAGTGCCAAACAAAGTGGTCACCACTAGGTCAATGGCATCTATTCTGTCGTAAAGTTACCAAGCGAATTACAATTCCGTGGAGACTAAGCCGTTATCCGCTCTGTTCGAAAGTATGTAAATCAGAAGTTCATATTGTACCAAATACCTGAACACTGTCACCATTACCGAAGGCCTGTCATTATTACCTTTCTAGATTTTTGTGAAGATTCGTCGCAGTTAGACTCAGGCAGACAGCCACCACACATCCAGGAAAGTGGTAGACGCCGTTTAGTACTAACGGGACTCGTCAGTAGCGCGTACCCACCGAGTCTTGCTGGATTCGAACCCACAAGTTTACTCTTGCGAGCCAGCGAGCTATGCCACTGAGCCATGGGCGAGGGAATCAGACCGCCATGACTGATAGCTAACTGCGATATAGCGCCGCTTATCCTCCACTGCCATGCATGTTATGAGCGTGCAGAGGACAGAGCTGGCCTCCACGGCAACGACTTCCTTTGCAAGCCGCCACCAATCGTGGTGGCATGTAAGCTGCTAAATGCCCAGAGTGTAGTTGACTTGGTCAATGGGTTTTATGGCACTGTGTGCGAAAGAATTGAGTTCCCGAAATTTGTGCCATCATATTTCGGATGTTTTGATTGGATGATTCAGTAATCTCACTTACCCTTCGGTGCAACTAGTGGTGAACGACATGAGCCCCACGTCACCGTTTCTCTCCAGCTTCAAATTTGAAGCAGTACATTTGAAGACGATGGAACCTTCACCAGGTGATCAAGTGATCTACTTAGATTAAGTTAATGATAGCAAGCTGTTTTGCGACGAATTATAGGGTGCGCAACTCATTCCGAAACGTTTGCTGATCGAAGCGCGTAAGCATGGTATATTCCTTGCTCCCCATAGGAATTGCAATTGCCTGTCACTGAATTCACCATTGAAGATACACAGCTTCAAAAATCGGATGGCTTAGTGTGCGCAGAAAAGCGGATTTCTACAGGCAAAACTATCCTAAAGGTGTCGCTTCGTACTGCGAATTCGGCCGGTATTTGCAAATCTAGAACATTCGGGTGATGATTGGGACGTCTGTTATTCGCAGAAGATTATAGTTTACAAGAGCAACGAACGTCCGATGCTAATCATGACCGATAGCTAAAATGGCATGCATATGCCTTAAGCTCTCAATGGTCAGGGATTGCTCGAAGGACCGCAATAATGGGTTCGCATCCCAGTTGAACGTACTTGTTCGAGAAAGAATTTTGTGGAGGTTCAGTGTTTCATTAATATGAACACATAACGTTGCGTCGAGATCAATGTCAAATTGTAAGACGTCCCTCAGACAAGAAATAGCGTTTGCCAGGGTTGTCTTACAAAATTCCATTCGAGTTTTTGTAGATAACATTTTGGAATGTTCTCTTGTTGATGATCAACACGTGGATATTGGGGTGTAATTTGGGGAGAAAACTGGTTGTGCAGTATGATGTGGAAGTCTTAAATCAGCATAATTAATCCTAAACAAACCCTCTCGGATGGCCGCATCCTCTGGTAACTACTTCGTGCAATCAAAAAACAAATAGCGCGGAGTACTCCGTGGAGTGGGCATGATTACGACGCAGGACAGAAAAATCTAACCAAGGTGCCTTTATCTTAGCACGGTAGTTAACTGGTTTCAACCGCAGGCTGTTGACAAGATATAGTAGTCTTAAATCTGAAGTCTACTTATAACACTGAGATTCCGCATGCGATCTTCTGTCCCAAGCAGTAGGACCCTTACTGTTGTATGGTATCGTAACATCGGTTGTAAGCACTAATTTATGACTGCTATCGTAGTTGATGCCGCGAGGGCCGATTTCTAGCATTGGAACAAGATAATACTGTAAGTTGCCCACTCAACGGAATAAACAAGAGTAGCCAATATACAGAGGCCTGGATCCTTAAGGTTTACATAGTGAAAGTTCAAGCAATGGAATAACCGATCAACTTAGAGAGGTGGTTAGCTTAATAGGTTTAACATTCGTTAGCGCTTAGAAATCTAGCATTTAAGCTATATTTATCAGATTATAACCCGTTCGTTTACTGAATAAATATCATTCCTTCTGGTTACTGTGTCTGTTATTTAAAGAAACATGACTCCGGTATCCAAGTGCTGTGTAATGAGGTAAAACACAACCGAGGTAGAGAGAGGGGGGACAGCGTGCAAATCAAAACTGAACGAAAAGTGAAACAGGGGGAAAAAATAAGACAAATTAACTGTTTTCGACTTGTTCCAGGTAACCGAGGGCGATTACGGAAGACGTCCGTTTGTTGGCAAGGAAACATAATTGACCTGAAGCAACCATGTGAAGCGCAGGAGAACATGTAAGTAGTGTCAATAATGCCGCGCAAAAATATCGTCGCAAGCGGTGGGTAGACTTTAGCAGATTAAGTGATAGTGAAAGCGCAGCAATTAGCCAAACTCGCGATAAAAAACGGAACTAGCAACCGTCGTAGGTCATGGCAGAGATGATATCCTTGGAAGTCGTTCCTCCTAACGCCCCACACGTTTTGAAGAGCCCACAATGGACATAAAGATAAGCTAGCCGAGTACGGTTTTAAATGTAGCCGAAACAGGCCATCACAAAGGAAGAGAAGGGAGATTGTCGAAACTAGGATATTCGATGGGAAAATTAAGATAGTAGCACAGCACCTACAGCGAAGCGTTGGCGAAACGTCTAACCGCAGAAGTGGGGTCATTTGACATCTGTTTCGCTCAGGAAGACAGCAAAACGAGCAACGGAAAGCCGCCGTTGAGAGTGATTGACAGCAGGCAGTCCCATTAACAGCTAGACGCAACCAGATAACCAAGATTTGGAAGTACGGTGGAACCGCCCTGCCCTATGTGGAGGTGCAGTTTTTGACTCGGTAAAAAGTTGAAAGCGCAACTGGTATTGTAGCGGGGTTTCGAAGTGATTGAAAAATTCCTCTAAAACGTGATTTCGCTGTCATTTGTGCTGCACTTTTTGGTCCCTGCAAATGACCTTTCATCGTTGTTGCGATGGCTGCTCGTACACCCTGGTCCATGCCCTCACATAACCCGGATGTTTGTTCACTGGATGTCACCCCCCACCGGTTTGTTCCATATACCCTTATCTTCGTCTAGTGGTCCACCAGTTATTACAATATCATGTGCTTGCCTTGGCAACTGTTCAGTTCCCATGAGTTCCTACCCTTGTCCGGTGGTTTATACGTTCACTCCCTCATTTATTTGTCTTCATCGTAATCTTTGTTCCACTCACTAATTCACGATGGTCGTTACGGTCCCCGTAGCTCAGTGGTCTCAACCACGGATTGGCAACAGTCGAGTTGCGGGTTCGAGCCCTACCAGGGTCCGATGGAATGCGCACTGCTGACGATTCCAGAAAGGATGAAACGCGCGTACAGTGCTTTTTCCCGAGCGTGTGACGGCTGTCTGAGTGAGTGTAGATGTGACGAATTTCTACCTATACCATTCAACTCCCCCTACTACTCCTCTGAAATCTGATATCGCCATGTCCATGGCATCGTACTAATGTGGACACATGCTAGGCGATTATCAGGCCACCCATTGACCACAGACTACGGTCTTGTATGTGTATTCCTGACGTTTAGCGATAAACCTTGCTCGCTTTGTGATCGGGCCATGGTAATTGGCCAGTGAGTTTGTATAAAGTTGCACGCCTATGCAGCCAATTTACCTGTCCTCTGGCGTCCTTCTCGTTCGTTTACTTGTATTGTTGCTGACGGTGATAGACCGGGAACCTGAACAATTGAGTCTCACTCCATTTTATTTAACTATATGTATTTTATTAGTACCGCATATATTGTGATGTGCCCCATGCTGAGGCTGATGTTGTATTCATGATGCTTATTCACCGCAGCTGGGCTAAACCAACTTACACTTAAACTAGGTCCTTTTATGCTGGATAAATTTCATTCGACGTTAATTAGTTTGTTCTGCCTACCTGAATAATCTTCTAGTAACTGGCCACGTTGCCTACGCTAATTGCGCTTATCGTCGCTAACTTTATTGAGTTCGTAGCATATTTCGTGTAACTTGTGGACATCTTGTACTTGTCGCTTATTCGTTGATAACCAACTTACTTCATAATCTAATTTAGCGAAGAGTTATGTCTGCATAGCCGTATGCTTAAATAGATACACGTTTTTGATATTATTATTTCAAGTGATTGGCTATTGCTTGATATCCCCGGTATGGCTGCGCTTGATGGGCATGTTGACAAGGTGCCTACCTGTCTAATACCCACTACCACGTCCGTACTTGCTACAGGAAACAGTTGGTCGTCGCTGGAGGGGACAGGGTGCATGGTCCTTGTGGCCTTGTTCGGCTTGAGGATCGGTTCCATGCACTCAGTGTGGAGCGGACAACGGTCCAGCCACCACCTTGTGTGCTTGATTCCCAAATGCGTGCTTGTGTCTGCCTGTGAAGGAGTGTGGGCCGGCTCCGTTGATGAAACGTGGCTCCCATCCACATGCCTCCCGGTCTCATTTCTTCGGGTTTACACAGGATATGGGGTGTGTGTATGGAGCTGTGGGTGGTGCAGCGCAAGCCACCCATGGTTCCTCTGTGGGCGCAGGCGTCCTGTGGCTGGCCACAGTGACAGGCAAATCCGAAACCGGATGACGGCAACCATATATTGTGATCTAAACTTGTTTTGATTTAGGATCATTTGGCTGCGCATCATTCAACGTTCGACCGGTGAACGTTACAGGCATTGAGCGACAAATACCATCCCACTGAGGCTATGAAATTATCTGATAACGAGGGTAAGTGAGCACGAATCTGTGACACAGCACAATCCACCGACCGTCAATATGATGACCGAAGCAGAAAATCACTGCAAATTATAACATAGTTTAGTAGTAAATATCAAAGATTAACTGATTCAAGAAGAACTGAACTACACTCCACACCCCATGGCGACGACAGAGGGTATAAATGTAGTCAGATAGATGACAGCAACTACCACGTATCTCATTAAACAGTTGCATAACCAGTTACAAGTTTCGCAGACAGGCATGGAAGGAGAGTGAAGTGGATGAAAGAAGATAGGTCAACTAGTAGCACAACATAAAGGGTGTTTAACGGTTTACTCGATGTATTTTGACCGCAGGGACACGGATGGGACACTGAGCGATGGCTAAAGCTGTGAACAACAGCTATATAAGGCTCGTCCGAAGGATGATTTCAAAAAGTAAAAAGAAACTTACTTACGATAAGTCGACCAACAGTGTTACCGACGGCGATTGCAGAGATAGCGAATCCGGAATCCGTTAACGGCCAGTTTAACTCAGCCAGCAAATCAGGAAGCAGAAGATAGGGAACCGACAGTCCTGTAACAAAAGCAGAGAAGACCGTAAAAAACGCAAGAGTTCAAAGTAGAAATCAAAAGTGAATATCAGCGACTTATACACACAACTCAATCATCCAAGATATCGGACAGGAAAAAGGCCATTTGCGCTATTCAAATGCCACGAGCGGAGTCGTCAAAGAGCAGATTGCAGTCATTACGTATATGACACAATGGGAACTAAACGACCTAAAGCGATAACCGCATTTTATCTGTAAGCGAGAACGGTAGCACCGTGATTGAGAAAAGAAACAGGGGATTGGGAGACGAACAGCGAGTGGTCGCTTTTAATAGAAACCGATGCTAGGATGAGCGTAGCGAGAAAAACAAGTATAGAAATAATTAGATTGTTTGTTATGACCAGTGAGGACGCCAATGTTGGGATAAGCATAACGGTCTGACCGGTGAAAATTTGATGGGAACAAAGAGAAGGGATGTAAGCGAACTAGAAAACATTGAACGAATTTGTAACCGATGGAGTTCGGACAGGACAGGCTGAAAGAATAGCGCAGGAATGATGGCAGAGATGCAGCGATGTTTGGCATGACATGGAGGCCGATAGGGGAGTGTATTCATTACAATGAGCATGCCAACTTTATCGCTTTGCAGAGTTAAATGTAAAACACCACGGGGAGTGCAGTGGATACATCTGGGATGAGTCTGAGAACGTTTACAAAAAGCCACACTCTAATTCCGATAGCACACGAGGACCGATGTCACGGAAGTCGACAGACTCACCCACCACGGTAACCGCAACAACGGCAAGCAGATTGCTAAAGATGTTACTGTGCCCAACAGAAATGTCAGCTGAGATTTGCACGAACCCGGTAAAACAAGATCTTATAAAGCCGAAGTAGGATGTGCAGCGCTGCAGTGTGACAACTGCCATCACAGGTTACTAGCCTTTGGTCACGCAAGCCTCCAGAATATTGTCTAAATATGACGGGAGAACCGAGCATGTAATGCTAGTCTGCCATCCGTTGTTTTGCAATGTAGCATTTGCTTCTGCATTGAATCGATTAATTTGACCGAGTCACGTATATCGTGTGTTTTGTATTCCGATTTACATCATGTAGCAGCATGAAGCTACACAGCTGATTGAGGGCAGCGTAGGATTCGTAGAGGACAAGAGAGAAACATGCAGTAGTTAGTACATTGCGCGTTACGATCAACAACAAATGAGATGGAAATGACGCAACCCCTTGTGCTCTACACTGGATGGGTGCGACAAATGGGCAAAATGTCATCGCCTGCCGCGCTGGTAAACATCAGCAAATGGTCATTTGATTGTTGGCAAGATTGCTTGATAAATGTATACCAAAACAGTAACAGCGTGACAAAACAATTACTCGGTGGGCTGGGCAGTTTCGTGCGATAGCTACATTAAAGTTGGCTAGTTGCGGGACGCAGATGAAACAACCAATCGGCATGATACAGTGTATGGCATGCCAATGGTGATGAGAATTAAGGTGCCCAAAGGCAACCAGTGGCTCCGAGCGAGGAGTTCTGATGAGAAAGGTATGAGATGGAACAGAGCAGCACCCGAAACAATGTGACCGCCGGTAATGGGCACAGTTTCTGCAAATAATGAACAACAAGCGTAATTTCGTCAAAAGTAGATACTGTACGTGAAGAATATAAGTTGGCGCTCATTGCTTCGCCCCAATAGACAACTTAAATCGCGGTGCAGCATAAACGATCGTCATCAATAGCATTACAATGGCAAATTTGATTGGTAAAAAAACAAGATCCTTCTCAGTAAGCGGTGACCGGGCATACATACGACGGGCCCAAGCCAACATATCGAGTGCTATCTATTAATCAGCGTCTGCAGTTGCAGCGTCTGCTGCAACTGTGTGCGGAGCACCAGTTGTTTCTTACTAGCACTGCTTTTAGACACAGTGGGCGCCGAAGTGCCACTTGGCGTCCACCTGTAGCTGGTCAGCGATGGACCCAAATCGACCACATAGCCATAAGTTACAGGTGGCGCGGTTCCATTCTGGATTGCCGCTCGTACTGGAGTACCTGTGTCGACTCTGACCATGCCTTGGTGCGCTGTCGTTTCTCCATGAACTTTACCGGAAGGCGCACAAAGCGTCTCCCCCGATTGGCAACGGAGAAACTGTCCCAGCCCTCTGTCAGGCAAGCCCATCAAGAAGCACTGCATACCGAAATCTCGCTGTCTTGTCCTAATGATACTGAACTTCAGTGGAATAGGATATCGGCCACTATGCACGACGCAGGAGCATCTGCTTATGGCACTATCAGTCGTCATCGCACCAGTCACTGGATATCCGAGAGGTCCGTGAACCTGTTGGAATCTAGAAAACACCTCCCGGCTGGCTCTGAACACAATGTGACCAGACGGGCTATTAGGCGTGAACTAAAGCGGAGCCTACGTGCTGACAAGGAAGCCTGGTGGACCAGTCGGGCTCGAGAAATGGAGGAGGCAGGAGCGGTAGGCAATTACCGCAAGCTCTTCCAGCTAATACGCACCACTGGTCCAAGAAAACCAGGCGTCAGTGAGACAATCAGGGACAGCGCGGGTGCACTGATACACAATAAGGAGCGCCGTATGGCTCGTTGGGCTGAGCACTTTGAACATCAGTTCAGCTGGCCCCCTGCTCCCGGACTTCTTCCTACTCAGGTGATGCAGGACATGCCACGGACGGTTAGTTTAGAGCCTCCGTCGGAGGCCGAGGTCCGAAACGCGATCACAGCCCTCAATCGTTTTCGTGCCGCTGGCCCGGATTCCCTCCCATCTGCACTATTTAAGGATGGAGGTGATATCCTCTGCAGGGCACTAACCTCCCTATTCGAACGTATCGGGAACGAGGAGAGTGTGCCGGCTAATTGGAGCGAATCGATTATAGTGGCAATATACAAGAAGGGCAGTCGCACAGACTGTGCGAACCACAGGGGTATTAGCCTAACGCCAGTTGTGACAAAATTACTGGCCTCGATTATCGTTCGTCGCCTCACTGCAGAACGGGAATCTCGGATTAGAGAAGAGCAGGCCGGTTTTCGCCCAGGACGTGGCTGTATAGACCATATATTTACTTTGCGGCAGGTGCTAGAGCAGCGCCACGTATACCGCAGACCGACAATAGCTGTGTTCCTCGATTTCAAGAGTGCGTTCGATTCAGTCGATCGATCGATTCTGTTCGAAATACTTGCGCGAAAAGGTGTTCCCACGAAATATGTGAACATCCTACGTGCTCTATACTCGAACACTAGAGGCCGCGTCAGGGTCTACGGTGTCCTATCGGATAGCTTTCCGACCACAAGTGGCGTTCGACAGGGTTGTCCGATTTCCCCATTTTTGTTCAATTTCGTCGTGGATCCTATCATAGAGTGTTCCCTTGCGGAATCTCACGATGTAGGTGTTGAAGTGCTGCCTGGTGAACGGTTAGTTGATCTAGATTATGCGGACGATATCGTCTTGCTTTTCGACAATGTTGAGGCGGCACAATCAACCCTGAATAGCCTATCCAGAGTGGTCCCATTATTTGGTGTGCACTTTGCACCTTCAAAGTGCAAAGTGTTGCTGCAGGACCATCAGCCACTCGATGACCCCTTGACGCTTGCTAACGAGGAACTCGAGGTGGTTGATCATTTCACTTATCTTGGCAGCTGCATCAGCAATGATGGGCGCATAGAAACGGACGTGAGCTCACGCATTGCAAAGGCCAGAGCTGCGTTCTTGAACCTGCGTCATCTTTGGCGACAGAAGGGAGTTTCCCTCCATCTGTAAGGCCGTGTATAAAAGGCCACAGTGAGGGTTGTTCTGCTGTATGGGAGTGAAACTTGGCCCCCTCGGTCTTTGATCATCGTTGTTTGCGAAGCATTGCTGGTGTCGGATGGCACCAGCGTGTCCACAACGATGATGTGCGTTG